GGGATGGAGCATGTTTCCGCATCAGTTCTTCTTAAGGCTTAAATGTCCCTTGTTTGGGAGTTTGACACGTTAGCCCTTCTTCCAATCGGCAGGTTCCTTTTGTTCCTTCCTTCCTAAGTTTCTGCAGTAGTAGTGTGAACATGTTCGCTGTCTTCTCTGCCTCTGTTTTCAGTGCTTCTGGTGGGATTCCATCTGGTCCTGCTGCTTTCCCGAATTTCAGCAGTTTTATGGCATTCAGGACTTCTTTTTTGTCGGAGGGCGTATGTTCACTTGTAGTTCTGCCGTTGGTGGTGGTGTTTCTGGACGAGTTGCATGTAGTGGTCGATTCAAGAGTTTTTTTGAAGTGGTCAGCCCATCTTTTTCTTTGTTTCTTCTCTTTGGTAACTAGCTTTCCTTCACCATCTTTAATTGGTTTCGTCTGCATAAACGACAACTGGTTAAAGCATAACTTTATAGAGTGGTACAGATATTTTCAACTAAGGGTTTGGGCTCTTTCTAAGGATAAAGGAATGACTCTAGTCAGGGAACTGACTAGATTGTTTGGGCAGGTGTGGCGGACTGACAATGTTCTCACCCTGGAATGAAGCCATCGTTATGCCCATCTTTAAGAAGGGTCTACGTAATGTATGTGACAATCATTACTGATTTGTATCCCTGTAAGTAGTGTTCACTGCAGTATTGCAAACTCTCGTACAATCAGTATGGCTTATATACTGCTGAACAACTTGTAGATTTCATTAGCCAAGCAGATTAGAGTAATCTTAACACTGGATAGCTGATGAGCTCGGATCCAAACGAGAAGTTCAGCTGATGGGACTGAACTGTTCAAACCAATTGGATGTGGCTGGCTGACTTCCATGGACCGGTAGCGTTGAATAGAATGATCCATTTGGATATTATTTACAAATTTCTTTGTGCACGTTAACATTACTCATGGTTGAGTAGTTTTGCAACTGTCACCCAATTGCTCTAGTGTTGTCAACTGGGTTTCCGTTGGATTCCGCTCATCAGCGAAGATCATAAGGTGTAATCTCTGAAATGGTGAACGATAATACTTCTGAGCAATTTGAGCATTTAGAAACCATTTGGGTTTATAGTTAATATGAAGACGGAGAGAAAAGATTAATATGGAGAGAGACCATTCAAAATGTATTTCATTTTATCACTTCGATAGTTAAACAGACAGAAGGTGAATCAGCTAATCAGTAGGACTATTTTGAACAGTGAACTATATATTAGCGGTATTCGCCTTTGTTCTTGTCTTCAGTCTTTCGACTCCAATACACTGTACTACACGCCCATTGTGTCTTCTCCATTAATTAGTCGGGTGGAGGCTGACAGTTGATATTTGTGCATCATTAGGGGCCACATCACATAGCAGTTTTCGAAATCATAACAATACTTTACATAACTCATCGACCGAGCATTTCCAAGATGGTTTTATTTTACCTGATCCGGATAAACTACTCTTATATTTTTAAGTAGTCTCGTACACATTCTACAATAAGTAGTTGTTAAGACCAGGTTTTAGATTGACCCAATTGAAAAGTTGAACAAGAATCTGATGAAACAGTAGAACCACTTATATTTCAAACATCAACTGTACACACCTAAACAACTTATTTCTTCTCTGTACTAATCAGGTGGAGCATACTACTCTGTGTTAATGCAAGTGATAGGGGCAGCAGTGGACAAACACAGTCATCTAGGCAATCGTTAAAACAAATCTGAAACAACAATATGCGGTTTTATTTATTCAAGCCATGTCAAATTATGGAATGACAAATGAATTTCAAAATGAAGCAGAATTGATAAGTTATTTGTTTGTTTAGGAAGTAAGATTGAATGTGATGAATTTAGAGGTTTTAAATAACAATGTTATCATTTCATTGATGTATTATTGCTGAGCAGCTGTTTCACCGAGTAAAGCAGACAAAGTTCGACGATAATCCCCAGATGTATCATTTTTCACAGCGTCCAATAAAGATTTACCGTAAATAACTTCATATGCCTCCATTACATCTTGAAGGTCAATCTTGTTTTAAAACGGACGGTTTTGAAAATGGCGGCATTGAACATATTGAACAAGATTTTTTTCAAACGAATGAAAAAAAATTTGAATTATTACGTTGAAGAGAGGAAACAACGCATATCAAGTATCAGTCGTAAAGATCATGAACTTTTGACGTAATGAACAGAGTACACTTGAAATGATCATGCAATACCTAACTATAGTTTGAGGAGAAGAAACTTGAGAAAATCAAGGAGAATTGAGACATGGATGTGACAGTACACCAATCGAATTTTCACACTTTGAAAGGTTGTAGAACATAGACATACTTACCGGCTACCGACATATGACATATTTCTTGATCTAAAAGTGACATTTGACTTTGTTGACCATGAGGTGTTGTCGCTGTGAAGAGAGTATCCACCGAGTATATAATGCTTATCAGAGCTTTCTATTCGGACTTACGTATCCGTGTCAGGGGTTACGGAGAGTTGGTAAGTGAAGTAGTGTCCGCCTTGGATGCCTGGTGTTACCATTCCTGTTTGATTTCGTTATTGATGTTCTAATGGACATAATCTTAGGTATATTTGACTTAGAATTTCCGGACTTTATTGTCGTATTAGGTTAAGTGAAGATGCTGATAAAGTACGGGGTCTTGTGAACGCATTCGGCAGAAATCTGAGTAAATTTAGCATGTTTTTCTTACCTTTCAGATTTAAGATGAGGCTCTAGAACTGCTCTGAAGTTACTTTCGTTTTAAACAAGGAGAGTGCAGTGGCAATGGAATCCGTTGAGAACTTTAATTAATTGAGGAGTTAAATCAACCTGAACGGGCCCATTTAGCATTCACCAACCTGCATAATCTCTGGTATGGACTGGTCAGATATTCGAAGCTTCATCGACTGAGGTGACTTGCACACATGGTGTACATGCGCAGCAACCATCCAACCCAACGTCCACTGTTAGCATAAGTTGGATTAGGTTGAAAAAAGGTTGATTGTGGGGAGGCTAAGACGTGGGACCACTCCATGTAGTCTATAATTGTTGAATGTGTGGTTGAGTTCCTCAAGACGAAAGGAATCAGTGGTTGGTGACTGTTAGTGAAATATTCGGAAGTCGGTTACAATGAAGCAGATTTATTGACTCTTTGTAGTCCTCTAAAGCTTGAACGTTTTGATTTAGCCTAATTTCTAAATCTCTTCTACTATACACCTTTGTGTACTTTGGCATCAATCTTTCTTACCCATTTGTTTTTTGTATACTACAGTGAATTTCGGCAACTTGAACAGATACACCTTGATACGAGGTTCCACTCTGATGTTTTCTGTCTATCTGTCTGTATGAACTCAATGAAGAATCGTAAGTTTACTCGAGATCACTAATATGTTTTGCTGGCATCAGGCCTTCTCATGTCCTATATCTTTAATAGGCCTGTATCTCAGCAATTAAAGGTAGACGTAAGTAATTCAGAAGACAGACGTAGAGTTTTAGTCAGGAGAGATAAGTCGCTTCATGTGGTCGTGAACCTTCATGGACTAAGATGATTGGAACATGTGTTATGTATACCCAGCCACCATCTCCCTCGTCACATAATGCTGCCTGAAGTACATTCAGGATGGAAAAAGGCTCGCAGTAGCCATACTAAAACATAGCATCAATCCATCAAGTTCTCAACATCCGGTTGAACTGTGTGGGACAAGAGGAATCAGTGGTTGGAGGCTCTACGTGATGTGACTCATAACCGATGTCAGTGACAAAGATGCATACACTCACCGCTACACTTAATCTCATCATCTCATTCCTCCTTCCTCTCTTTCATCACTTTCGACTTCGACTTCCTCACACCGATTTCTCCTTCCTTCCTTCTCCATCTTTCATTTCATTGCCTTGTTACTTGCTGTATTAATATGAGATTTGGCAAGTCGGACTATTGTGTAGTTAGTAATGCCTGGGTTCTATGTTGATCTCGATGATGATAATGTGTCTACTACCGCAAAACTCTACTTGACCTCAGTTTGATACACTACTTTTACTCACATTAGTAAAATTTATCTACAAACTTGGAGAGAAACGAAACTTCATACTTGTGTTATTCGGTGAAAGTGTCTCAGATCACAACTTGGGGGGTCAAGAGTGAACCTGAGTGAGAGTGAATTACTTAAATCGCTTTGTTCACCATAAACTAACCAATTAGCCTGATATTTAAATAACTATATCTTCTAGTAATATTTTTCATTTATAAAACCGCTTAACGTTTCACTATCACTGAAATCATATAATCCATGGTCCAGTCGCGTGAGCCATTTCTCCAACTAGAACCTACCTCAGCTAACATTGTGGGACGATGTAGATGGTGGTTAGGCATACATAACACATGATGTCTCAGTCATCTCAGTCGATGAAGGTTCACAACTGTGTCAACCATTTAACCTGTCCTCCGTGAAACTGTACACCTAACTTCGAAGTTACTCATATAGTGACACAGTAAGACAGCCTATGCCATAAAGGAAACGGTAGTGAGACACCTGAGGCCTTCTCAATTCCTGCACCTTTAGACATGTTTCTCTGATATTGAGTAGAACAGACTTCGGACATGTTGGCGGTGCCAAAGTTGGCGCGGACTACATTCGAATTCTTCACTGAGTGGTCAAAATTTACCTACTGCATGCATGTACAATATATATATATATATATATATATATATATATATATATATATATATATATATATATATATATTACGTGTACGTATACATAGTCGTCTGCACTCACTACGGTCATACACACTTATACATATAGTTCATATATACATATCATACTTTCCATCAGTACACGTATAACACCACAAATAACAAAAGGCAGTCGAGCTTTTCATACCATTGAAATCATATAATTTGTTGTCTATGTAAAGTGATTTCTCAATAAAATATTCATTTGCCATGATGAGTCAGTTTAGTATTAGAAGTGTTGGCAGGCACTGAATAACTCACCTCAGATCGTGTGATCAATAATCGCATTAAAGCATAATCTTTTGTCCCCAGACCAGCCATTGCGTCATGAAGCCAGTTAGCAATTAGACCAGGTCGATCAATTGCATATCGCACTATTTAAAAACGAAATATATGCGTATAAAAAAAACAAAGGCCATAAAGTATGATCGATGTACAAGTGGTTTAAAAAATGAACAATCCACACCTTGTCATGTCCCTGAGCTGCTTGGATTTTCAACTACTGAGTTATCCTGTGAACAGTGTTTCCGTTCGGAACCACCCAACAATGAAGATCACAAGATGTGATGTTTGACACAAAAGTGTTATGTTCTAGCGAAATATACTACTACTCAAGTTGTTCAGTAGTAGTATGCTATGCGTTGAAAGTGAAAAAATTAGGTTATGAGAGAGATACTTAGCTTTGAATTGTTTTCTCCAGTCAACAACTACTTCGAAAGTGTATAAAGTATAAACTACTTCTTTGGACCACCTCCATTTGAATTCTTCCGGATCTTGTTACACAAGCCGCTATGCTTCACGGTTGTCTGAGGAAGAGTGTTAAGTAACCAGCAACTCGATTCTTGAGCATTTGCTTAATTATGATCACTTTGCAGTGCAAAAATCTATCATAATCGTTTATCAGATGGAGTCAAGTATTTCGAAGGGAATCGATTCTCGCCGGAAACTTTGAGAATTCACTGGCTCAAGCCTGATGTTTGTGTTCAGAGAAGATGATAATAAAACACTGTGCAATATTAAGAAATAACATTTATGAACAGAAATATTATAAACTTTGAATCATTAGGTGTCTAGGTATTTATCCTATTGTGAAAGGAATTGTATGAACAAAGCTAACAACTATTGTCTGCGTCAAGCTTAAGCTGTGGTACAGATTTAAAAGGTAGATGAAACGGTTGAAGACGAACGAAGCATTCGAAAATGGCATGATATTTATTTTCCAGTAAACTGAAGTTAGTAAAATGCAATCTCCAAATGACAAGGAAAGTCAACATACCTCACAATGAGACGTACATAATATTACTACTGTTAATTTTTAAGTAGCATAAATTTAAAAACACAAATACGCTTGTAAACAGACGAATTGACGCCTCGCCTGATTCATAAGTAGATCGTTTCAAGTTACCACACATCACAGCAACATACAAAGAAGCATTGAAATGAGAAAAACAATATAGTTGAAGTGGAAGAAAGTGCATGCGGAAAGTGAGAGTGAATGAATAAAGTTTAGTCAAAATTCTAACAATTTGTGCACATTTCCGTACCCTAAGCAACGATCAATACTAGTTGTATGGTAGCCAGTTCTACGATCCCGCTGCATAAATTTTGTCACTGAAAGTATAAAAAGGTTAACAAAACGTCAAAGTACTAGTTGGTTAGTTGAATTATATGCTTTCTGTTGAAACCCTGGCATCTGCATAATGCCTCGAGTCTTCATACATCAGATACATTTCATATTTTAACAAACAGACCTTTATAGGTCTTCAAGCTGCACGGGACATTAGTTGCTCTCCAGTGACCAGTCAACATATATGCGGTGTGTGTTATAAAATGAGTGACCATTGGTTGGCAAACAGTACTCCTTTATGAAAGAATTCACTTATTCTGAGTAATTTGTATTCACTTTCTAACTTTCAGTTAATATTAAACCTCTTCGAATAAAATCTCCATGTGTTGACCAGGTCTTAGAAGTAGCTGACTTGTGTATAAAACATTTACTCAGCTGATCAGGTATATACACCTTCTTACCGAGTGTTAAATTATGTGAAGAAGCGTTATACTTTAAAGTTGAAGGAATCATGGAGTATACATTGTGACTAACTGTTTAAAGTCATTTTTTGTCAGTGTCCACCTTAGAATATAATCTACATGGTATATTATACCAAACAAGATCTTAGAAGGATAATGAGCTTGTAAACGGTTGACCAGTCAGTACTCGAAAGACAAAAGACATCCAATAGAGTTAAGGGATACAGGTCACAGTTAATTTAGGCGTACAAGAATCCTCAGTGAATGTCAAAGTTATCACACCCTTTTTTCATATTCACGTATAGCATACGTACTCTACTTTCAAAAATGCTTTCGTATATTTTATACTACTCATGAGTAGGTTAATTCTACATTCACAAAAATCATGAGGGATTCTGCTAAGTTTTGGTTCAGTACAGCCATGTTCAATTTCATATGACTCATTATTACAGTGAGTTACCACTTGAATTCTGCTAGTTTCTATCATTTATGTTATTTTGTGAACTAGGATGGGCCACCAGTCTGGTTTTTAGTTCATTCTGTTTTGAATAGCAGTACTGAGTTAAGTGGGTCATTTACGGTCCCGACACCTGAATTCGTTTCAAATCGATCATACACCGAGTTTCGAGCACATCTTTTTTTAACTGGGAACCATTGTGAAGTTTTGCGCTCTCCCCTGTTGTTAGAGGGCTACCAACTTGGGTCAGTTCCGTAGCGATAGTTCGTTTTCGCATGGTGAGACGCACATCCTAAACATTCTCAAATTGACCCTGAAGGTGTCTAGATGATTGTACATCTTGTCAGCATCTTCACCGTCTACATACTGTAGGTCAGCTGGAAAGTTGCCTATGACAAGATCCATCCCCGGATGTTCAGACAACCAGAGGAGGACTTCCATAACCATACTAACTAAGAATGTATAGACTGGGCATACTTGACAGATATCACTTGACGCACACAACTCAACTGTCACTTCGCAATGTGCTCAAACATCTGTGGGTGATTAATGGTGAATATGATAACCAATGAACTGTAATCATTCAATAAAATCTTCAATCTACCCTACTACTTACAAACAGATACCAGTAGTTTACGATAATCTCCAGATGTTTCAGATTCAATATGCTCCAAGAGTGTCTTACCATACATCTAAAACAGAGCAAGGAAAGAGAAATAAAGTTATTCCATAATTAGTGTTAATTGAATTTGATTTTCTAGGCCCCAAAAGTGGTTTTCTAGGCCACCCCTTTTGCATCTGTTGCCCTAAAAAAAACTGAAACCGAATATTTATAAGGGAAAATTTAATGGGAAAGTTGTCATTTGACTAACAACAGCTGAATTGTCTTTGATGCTATAACATGTTAATCTCCGCCACTGATTTGACTGAGGTTACCTTGATATATTTCCGGTATTTTCACTCTTGATATTGATGATGGGTAGCGGCTCATCAGCTAATTATATCTATCAAAAAATGTAATATACACGTCGTACAAGCAGCTGCCAACATGACTCAGGAGACGAGGGGATAAAGTTTTGGCGTTTGAAGTGATTGTCTTCGGTTCGTGAAACTCGTCGCTAACTGGATCCGACAAAATGTACATTCTGGATTTCAATGCTAGTCAGTATTCCCTATCAATATCACAGATGAAGTGTCTCAAAAAAAGTCACCATTCACCTAAAATTGTCGATAAGTTGAAACAGTTTCTATGTGAATTAGACAAGGAAGGATGAACACTTTTCAATAATCTTTTAACCATAGTGTTATTGCTTGTATTACATTGTCGTTGATTGAACCGAAATGATCAGTCTCTGTTGGCATATAGGCTACTGTGCGGATGCCTCGATACTGCCTGTGTTTTTAATTACGTAAAGTAATGATGCGCAGCGGCTAGCAGTAGAATCCAGGATGCGCATTTCTTCCTACTTGGGACTCACTGGTAAGCTGGATGTACCTGCCTCCCAGTGAGTGATGTTGTTCCCACTTGGATTCTGACTTGTGAGCGATCGCTTCAAACATTAGAGCGTTATCCACTACACTACCGAGCCACGATAGCCACCTCTTGTGCAACGGGTATAGTTTTAGTGTTACTACCGTCGTGATTGAACCGAATTGATCGGTCTCTTCGAATCCCGGAGCGAACAACACCACTCACTGTGAGGCAGGTACATCCAGGTGACGAGCCCTGGGCAGGACGAAATGCGCTTTCTGAATTCCACTGATAGCCACTATCCATCTTTGCTACACATAATCCTCTAACTAGACTCTTAAGTCTACTCATTCGTTGTTTTAAAAATGAAACATAACATATCTACTTGACAACTAACCAATTAACAAATAAAAATTAGTTTTCTGGTTTAGAAGTGTTCAAAAACCGTCAACGTTTCCAATTTTCATAAGATACTGGAACACATGAGCTGGAACACTGAAGCTTTGACTAGAACTACTCAAGACCTCACACAACCTAGTTTCTGAACTGCTGATCAGCTGGAGTATATAATCTACGAGGAGGATGTAAGTTAAAAGAGAATGTTGCATAAATTTTATCATCCATTTTTCTCAGAGATTAATTATGTACCACAAAGTTATCGAGATAACAATCCTGAAGTTTATGTTGGTTTTTAGATAAGGATGAGAAACACACCTCCAGGCTAAAAATAACTTTGTTATTTCTGTTTTCGTGTTCTTTTAGTGCAGTAGTGAGCTTTTGTTGTTCCCGCTACTTCTGAAGGTAAACTGTCATTGGTTGTTAACTCTTTTAACCTATCAGTGAATTTAGCGTTTGTCAAGGTCATTTAGAACATAAATATATTCAGGATCGCTTTCAACTGTTATAACTGTTGTTGAGACAGTGAAAGCTTCCTATCACCTATCCGTTTACATTGTGTCGTTGGTATTTTCGTTGTAATGGTTAATATTATGAGTAGCTAGTAGAGTAGAATCTTTTGCGTGTTAAGTTTGTATTGCTTAAAGACAGGTGGGACGCATATGTGAGCACTTCTGCGGTAGGATCCCATAATAATATGATTATTTTTCCCTTGGGTTCCTAGTGGAACTTATGGAACACACGTCTCTATTCCACTCTCCCCTCTCCAGTCTTTTCAACCTCACTCAAACAATGCACACAACCTCTCACTTCTTCATCACATCATCTCCTCCATGTCACCCTCACTCTCACCCTCACCTCGGACGCCAAACTCCTCGTTTCCCATCAAGATTCCGCTCCAGTGCCTGGCACGTAATGTCCTCGAATAGGTTTCTCACTGCATGCCCAATCCATCCCGAATTCCTGCTTCTGCATATTTGTTGACCGATAGGTTCTGGCTTTGTCGGTTCGTTGCCAGCCAGCCAGCCAGCCAGCCAGCCAGCCAGCCAGCCAGCCAGCCAGCCAGCCAGCCAGCCAGCCAGCCAGCCAGCCAGCCAGCCAGCCAGCCAGCCAGCCAGCCAGCCAGCCAGCCAGCCAGCCAGCCAGCCAGCCAGCCAGCCAGCCAGCCAGCCAGCCAGCCAGCCAGCCAGCCAGCCAGCCAGCCAGCCAGCCAGCCAGCCAGCCAGCCAGCCAGCCAGCCAGCCAGCCAGCCAGCCAGCCAGCCAGCCAGCCAGCCAGCCAGCCAGCCAGCCAGCCAGCCAGGATTCCTTGTTGCTTATTCTTTCTGGCCTTCTCATCTGATCTTCAGTAACCAGCATGGGTAGCAGCTGTTCATGAATGTCTGTAGTCTGTTGGAAATGCTTTTCGTGATGCGCCAAGTTTCCCAACCATCACATAGAAGCACTGACTTGACTTGCATTGGTGTTGAAAATCCTTATATTATTCACGCTTTATGCTGAGTTGAGTGTAGTAGATTTACACACTGGTTTCACACTGATGAAAGCCTGTCTTGTTGTCTTTCCGATCCTGTCTGGATTTGACATGCTCATCTGTGCCTGTGCCACCCCTAGTTAAGTCGATGCTGCCTAGTTAGGTGGGTAGGTGAAAGAGACTAATTCTTTTAGGTTTCTCCCATTGATGCTGATTGGAGCTTCTCGTTGTTGCTGTTGATGCTGTTGTTGGTTGGCTATCTTCATCACCTCTGTCTTCTCTACATTCACTTCAAGTCCCATCTTCCTTCACTGCCATCACTTGTCTCTTCTGTCAACTTGTTAGTTTTCGAGATCTGTCGATCTCCGAGTTTGTGCGACATAAGACATTAGACATAAATCATCATCGTTGGCGAAATACAAATGTTGTAGTGTCTTTTCATTGGTGAAACAGCGCATATCCCTCTTCTCACAGTTCATCACGGTTCGCTGCACGATGCAGTCGACCACAATGAGGCGGATCATGAGTGATATTATGCAGCCTTGTTTTACTCCTTTCTGTCTTTACTTCAAAGGTGTCACTGAGGTTTCACTGTAGATCAGTTTGCATTTGGCGTCTTCATATATTTGTTGAATGAGGTTGATAAATGTTTGTGGTGTTTTGTAGTGTTACATCAAGTGCCAAACTACTTCTCATTCGTTGGTGTCGAAGGCCTTTTCAAAGTTGATGAAGTTGAGGTAGAGAGTTGACTGTCATTCTGTGCTCTGTTGTATGATGATGCGTAGCGTTGGGTTTCAATTTGGTTTGAAGATGATTTGTTCTTCCTGAATTCAGCCAGTCTGTTCCGGTTTGAGATTTGAATGCAGTGCATGCTTTAGTGTCTCCAGGATGATGTGGCATAATATTTAGTTTGGGGTGGAGAGGGATGGAGGATGTTTCCGCGTCATTTCTTGTAAAGGCTTAGGTGTCCCTTGTTTGGGAGTTTGACACGTTAGCCCTTCTTTTTACAGTCGCCAGTATCTCATACTAGAGGGAAGCGACTCTTCGGTGCCTCAAGGCTTATAATCCTTTTCTTTGATGAAAAATTTCAGGTAATCTTCACTTCAGATATGTTTTTAGGTCTTGTTCATGTATGTTTGTGTGATATTTTATAAAAAAAAGTGAAAATCTACAAGGATACTGGGTTCAGTATATGGTAAATTTTTCTAGGGTTCGATAAGTGGAGGTAGATGATTCGGTTGGAAGGTTATACTTCACTTAACATTTCAATTTGTTCCCTATACGATTTAAGGATGATTTATTCATAAGCAATAAGAATGTTCATACATCTTTAGAGTATTACAAAGTTATATCATTTAGTCTAATGGCTGATTTATACATTCTATAAACAGAATGTTGTTGATAATGATGAATAACCTGCTCGACACCGGTTCTATGAAAAACACAATGAGATGATGTTATCTACACCACGAAAAAAACACAATGGGTCAGGTGTATAAACTAATCTGACAAGTTTATTCTAAACTATTTATTATCAGATGTCAAGCCTTTATACTACTGATATTTGAAGTTTGACTATTTCAGTAGGTTACTTCAGAAACTATGCATGTTCCCTTAAACTAGACCTATTAGTATCTACTTATTCAACATTTGACATACTTGGAACATACAGTACACATATCATGTCATCTCTTATTCTTTATTTTTGTTTGTAGTAAAATTTCTCTTATCTCTGGTGTAGAAAGGTGTTGCATCATTTCTATTATATGTATTGTGTGTTGATTCAATGAACAAAGAGTCAGTAATCAATCTGTCTCTCCACCTAATTACAGTGGCTTTATCCCACCCACCCTATTATGTGATTGTGTGTTAATGCATACATTGCAGTAGCCGAGTCTCATTCTAGATTATTGATCTTGTTCGGGTCTGTCATTCTATATTTAACTAAGTCCCAATGTTCAGCTATTCTAACTGACCACGAATGACCAGTTTCAAGTATATACTTGACCTCACAGTGATTAAATGGAGTTTGATAGATGAGATTATGTTGCCTAATTGGTTCTATCCGATCCTGAATGTTTGTTCATCGAATCAATATTTAGCCAACACGTGTAATAGAAATGACACAACACCTTTGTATACCAGAGATATGGAGAATTTTGCTACCAGTAAAACGAAAAATATGAGGTGACTATAACTATAAAATCAAATGTCGATGGGAGCATGATTGCACATTGATATGATTATGATCAGTAATAATTTCTGCTTGGAACGTCATCAAGTAAATAATACTGTATCATAGTATGTGTTATAGACGGGACTTCAAGTGAATGTAGAAAAGACAGAGGTGATGAAGATACCCAACCAACAACAAAAGCACCAACAAGCTCCAATCACCATCAACATGCGAAACTTGAGGGAAGTAGCCTCTTTCACCTACCAACTAGGCAGCACTGTTTCAACTACAGGTAGCACAGACGAAGACATCAAAGCCAGCCAGGATTTGAAAGACAGTAAGATAGGCGTTTATCAACCAGAAACTAGTGTGGAGATCTACTGCACTGAACTCAGCGTAAAGCGTGAACAACATCAGGATTTTCAACACCAATGTCAGTCAAGTCAGTGCTTCTATATGATGGTTGAGAGACTTAGCGTGTCACATAAATCATTTCCAACAAACCACAGACATTCATGAACAGCTGCCACCTACACTCACTCGATAATGAAGCTCAAATGGCCAGAAAGAATAAACAACAAGGAACTCTGGCTGGCTGGCAACGAACCAACCAAGAACCTGTAGCTCGGCAAATATGCAGTGGAATAAAGTGGAGATGGCTTGGATTGGGCATCCGCTGAGAAGGCCGACTGCGGATACCACTCGCCAGGCACTCGAGTTGAACCCAAATGGGAAACCGCAAGTTGGGCGTCCGAGGTGAGGGTGACATGAAGGAGATCGTGCGAGGAGGAAATGAGAGCTTGTAGGCAGTCATGGAGTGATGTTCAAAAGACTGGAGAGAAGAGAGTTGAATGGAGACATGCTACTGAAGCCGTATGTTCCACTAGGAACCCAAGCAACAAATAAACGATAAAGAAAGTGTGTGTTATAAATTAAATAAACATATCTCTCATACAGAATTAAATTCCACCGCAGTGCCCAAGTTTTACACCTATATTAAGATCGATGATGTCTTAAAGTCGTTGAACGAAGATATGGAACCAGCTTATGTTATCAGTGCCTATTGATTCGACCTATATCGGTGAATGTTAGCTTCTGAATCAATCTGCTCAGGTCAATCGAGATCAGTAGTTGAGGTCTTTAGGCGACAGTATAAAGTCAAGCATCGACACATTATCGTCATCTACTTCTTGAAGGCTTATTTCTATCTATCTTTTAATCCAGTGCATTATCTTGTCTTCTCGTCTTTCTACCACTAATGATATTCATTTGCCGCAAGTATAGTCGATTTTCCTATTGACATATTAAATAAAGTGATAGACAAAGAGATACAAGGTCCTATGTTGCTAGAAGATGAATTTTTCATTTTATAGCTGCATATTCGCTTCTAGCCCGTATCCCAGGTGTAGCAAGATGTATCAGCCTGTAAGTATTTTAAACTATTTGCGTGAGTAACCATGACTTTCTAATCAACATAGTTCCTTCCCAGAGTGTCAGCTGCGCGATTAAGTCGTGTTTTGTTTATGTTGTCATCTGGCAAAATCTGAGGATATTATGTTGTGTTCACTTCTGTGCAAGATATCATCAACCAAAACACTATTAACTTGACGAAAACTGCGGTCGATGAGTGCATCTGTGCAAGATAAGTAGTTTGAGTCTCTAAAGTATAGATCGTCTTGTAAGTCATCTGGAGTTTGTCCAGTTTTTAAGAGTATTGCAATCGAAAGGTAAAGTAAATCCAGCTCTTTAGTCCTAGTCGTCATAATTGTTGAAGAGATCCCAAGAGATCGGTTTTTTGTCTACCATGCGAAGGCAAGAGATATTCAGTCTAGAATGTCAACATTGCTGGGCCTAGTTTAGTTGTATATCAGTAATCCAGAAGAAGCCACAACTGTGAATTTGTCGGTATACATGCTTTTTCGGGAAAGTGAGCCATATTCACTCTGTTAGGTTGTTCAAACTTCAGTGAGACGCCGCACAAGGAAAGCTGAATAAAATCAAAGAGATGATAAGTCAGTCAATTTAGATACGCTGATACCTGACAGTTGAGAGGGCTCTCGGATATCACTATTCAGTTTGAAGGTTTCATTAACAGGATGGTCTAAGAGCAGTATTTTCTTTCATGTGAATACGTTGCTTCAGTGTTTACTGCTCGACAAGTGGACAGTAGTCTACCAGATTGCATTGATACGTTCATAGATCTGAAAATTACCAAGCAACTTGTAATCTCTCGTATCGATAACATATTATATACTACTCAAATACACTGCTATCAGTAGTTTGCATGCCAGTACTAATATTTTGATGTAATTTATTTCAAGTTTACTGTAGAGAAGGAATCAGAATCAATTATTACTTTTCTTGATGTACTTCTCACCCGACGTCAGAATGGATACCTTAAAAGATCAATCTACAGAAAACCAACGTTGGAACGGACAACTAACTAATTTTTATAGTTGGGTGCCCATCAACAGAAAAAGAAATCTTATTCACTCTCTTTGCTATCGAATAAGAAGTATGTGTAGTGACGATTGTATTGATGAAGAGCTATCTTTTTAAAAAAGCATACTTGTCGAAAACGGTCACCCTAGCCGTTTTATTGATAAAAATATGCGGGAAAGAAACACTAAACCAGTCATCCACTCGGTCTCAAAGAAAAAACTGTTTATGAGCCTAGAGTTTAAAGGTGACCTAGCATCGGATGTACTGAAGAATCGTCTTACCAGACCAATCAATAGGACTTTCTTCGCAGCAAGACTTCAGTTGACTTTTACCAGCCGCAACCTATTCTCCACCTGCGTTAAAGACAAGCTTCCTCGTTTGGCCGCCTCTATGTGCATCTACCAGTTCACCTGCTCTTGTGGAGCAAGGTACATTGGCCGTAGCCAGAGAATGCTTTCTACAAGTATACGAGAACATGTTCCTGCTTGGTTTTATAAAGGTGAAAGAAAGTCTGTTAGAAGTTCGATTCTAGAACAATTGATTGACTTCCATCACACAACAAATCCAGACGATGACTTTGAAATTATTTATCAAATTCGCCCAAACCTTCCACGTTCTCTTCGTTTTCAACTCCTTAAAACAGCGGAGGCTTTAGCTATTCATGAACTAAGACCTGATCTGTGTGTGTACAAAAGAAGTATGTGCAGTCATTGTCTTTATCATGGCCATAACATTTTCCCACCCTATTAGCTCCCCCTCCCACCTTTTTTAATTTAACCTTTGTATCCTTCCTTTATCACTATTATTGTTATTATAATCGCCTTCACTTTAACTAGTTTCGGGTGTTGTTTTACTTAATTATCTTAGTCCTTTTAAATTTTGAGGGGGTTGTGGAGATTTGGAAATATTTCAAGTTGTTATTCATCGAAGACTGACATCAGTTGGAGGAACAAAGGAAACCTGGGAGCACTGGACAGCTGTTTCGTCAGACTAGTATGGGACTCCTCAGCAGTGCGCACCCACGACCCCACCAGCAGGGATCGGACCCGCGACCTTCAGGTTCCGCGACCAGCGCGTTTCCATTGAGCCACTGGGTCAGAATCCAATGTTCCATATTTCCAACTTCTGTTAGCTCACGATATAGCGCGAACCGCCACCTAATGTCATCGTTGAGTATTTGTCCTCACGGCCATCAGGCTTGACTCCACCGGTCACGACTTGTCATTGGAACTTCGGGAATACTTCTCGAAGCTAGTCACCAATGAGCATCAGTTCAATTAAATTTTTGAGGGGGTTGTGGAGATTTGGAAATATTTCAAGTTGTTATTCATCGAAGACTGACATCAGTTGGAGGAACAAAGGAAACCTGGGAGCACTGGACAGCTGTTTCGTCAGACTAGTATGGGACTCCTCCGCAGTGCGCACCCACGACCCCACCAGCAGGGATCGGACCCGCGACCTTCAGGTTCCGCGACCAGCGCGTTACCATTGAGCCACTGGGTCAGAATCCAATGCTCCATATTTTGGTCCTTTTAGAAAACATTGACTTCATCTTGTCCAATTTGTCTAATGCCATTACATAATACTTAATTGATTTACCATTTTCAACAACTTTTTCACCCCCTTCTGAGTTATATACTCTCTATACACCATTTCATATATTACATAATCTATTTGTTATCATTCGCACTTCAATTGTTATCATAATCATAAATGCCTATGTCATCACCCGTTCTATTATTATTGTCATAACCATATAGTGTTTAGTTTTCCTCACGAGATATAATTTTTCCCAAATATCATATAGATATACGATTGTACAGCTTGAAAATAAATTCGTTGAAAAGAGTCTCTTTGCTGAATATCATCTTGATCTTAATGTTACAATGGGAATTATTAAATTATTTATCAATCAGTCAAATAACTCACCTTTGCATAAACTTCAGAAGTTAAATATAACTGAAACGGTGTTCTATTACAGATAATTCGTGTGATACGTTTTTCACTTGTACCTATTCGACTAAGAGGAAATGGATAAAAATGTAGACAATAAACTAAATTATTCTTCTGGGGATATTTAAGACAATCACCAAATACAAAAATGTGAGACATCATTGAAACCAACTTTAAGATGACCTATGCTCAAGAATTTGACTATCATCCCAGATTGATAATTCAGTAACATCAGTGACAATAAAACCTTCAGTCTATTCTCAAAGCGCAAAAGTGAACATTTATTGACTGATCACTGAAGAGCAATCAGTTACATATTCTCTAGTCCTAGGTGTTAATCGAACAATATCGATCATTTTATAATATGAACGCTAAGCTAAGAGTTTCAGGATCACTGTGAAATTTGATTGATTAAAGTTAGTTGGATGTAATCTACAGAAAACCCTATTTGACTAAGGTTTCATATATGTCGGTACTCGTTAGCAAGGTGTCACTTCAGCCTTAAGAGAAATGATATCCAAATATTGTAGTCAGTGACGTTAACACTAACCTATTTACGCTGTAACTGACTTGGTTGGTAAGATCAGCTGAGCACTTAAAAATAAACAACATGAGATTGATTGCTATCCAATGATAAGTCAATGTATGCAATCCAGTCGAACGGGAGTTTAACCAACTTCTATGTTCCTATATATATTGATTCGTCTACTCCTGTGCAGCTGGATACAGAGTGTATATATCCAGAGACGGATTGTCCAGCATCGACGCCAACATCGCGTATCATTCAGCACAGGTAACGGCAAGTCAGGAAAGAACAACTACACACACATATATCAGGCGATTTAGACACATCAATTAAAGTCTCCAGCAGAGAAAAAACAATTCTATGAAAAATACCCCCCTGACTAGATTTTTTATGCTGGAAATCTTTCATATTCCCTCAGTACAGTCTAGTCCTTCCTATTTATACACTAAATTAACAGGTTGAATACATGTATGAAGACAATTCAGTGTCATTCATGAAATTAGAAATAATGACCAAGGTAAACGATTTTTAATAGGACTAAATTATTTTCAGCTTAAAGATCTATTCCTTACAAGTATGTGATCAACATGATTTCCACTGGTTATTCCTTATTGAAAAGTTCATCCTTCATAAAAATGTTTCTGTTAAGAAAGCTCAAATTGAATAAAACATTATGAAAAAATTTGAATTGTTGTTTTTGCGCCATTTTTCCTTTTTACGCTTCAAGGCTATTCGCTGATTGGTTAATGTTAATATCTGAAATTCTGGTCAGGGTCACAAACAGTGTGTAGACACATGCTATGAGTCATTTGAAGAATCTTTTCCAAGGCAATAAACTTTCTCATTTAGGCCAGTCCTTTTCATCCTTTCATCTAAGGTCTGGTGTATTAGTTAGCTGTTAGTTAGGTGTGCATGTTATATACGCCAAGTATTCGGAAACTGATTCCACACTACGGAATATCACAAACATTTATCAACCTCATTCAACAAATATATGAAGACGCCAAATGCAAACTGATCTACAGTGGAAACCTCACCGACACCTTTGAAGTAAAGATAGAAAGGAGTATAACAAGGCTGCATAATATCACTCATGAGCCTCCTGATTGTGGTCGACTGCATCATGCAGCGAACCGTGATGAATTGTGAGAAGAGGGATATGTGCTGTTTCACCCATGAAAAGATACTAGAACATTTGGATTTCACCAACGATGATGATTTATGTCTAATGTCTTATGTCGCACAAACTCGGAGATCGATAGATCTCGAAAACTAACAAGTTGACAGAAGAGACAAGTGATGGCAGTGAAGGAAGATGGGACTTGAAGTGAATGTAGAGAAGATAGGTGTGATGAAGATACCCAACCAACAACAACATCAACGGGAGAAACCTAAAAGAATTAGTCTCTTCACCTACCCACGTAACTAGGCAGTACCGATTCAACTGCGGGTGGCATAGGCACAGATGAGGATGTCAAAACCAGACAGGATCGGAAAGACAACAAGACAGGCTTTCACCAATCTGAAATCAGTGTGTAGATCTACTGCACTCCATTCAGCATAAAGCGTGAATAATATAAGGATTTTCAACACAAATGTCAGTCAAGTCAGTGCTTCTATGTGATGATTGAGAAACTTGGCGCATCACGAAAAGCATTTCCAACAGACTGCAGACATTCATCAACAGCTGCTGCCCATGCTGGTTACTGGAGATCAGATGAGAAGGCCAGAAAGAATAAGCAACAAGGAATCCTGGCTAACTGGCTGGCTGGCTGGCTGGCTGGCTGGCTGGCAACGAACCGACAAAGCCAGAACCCATCGCTCAACAAATATGCAGAAGCAGGAATTTGGGATGGATTAGGTATGCAGTGAGAAACCTATTCGAGGACATTACGTGCCAGGCACTGGAGCGGAATGCTGATGGGAAACGAGGAGTTTGGCGTCCGAGGTGAGGGTGAGAGTGAGGGTGACATGGAGGAGATGATGTGATGAAGAAGTGAGAGGTTGTGTGCATTGTTTGAGTGAGGTTGAAAAGACTGGAGAGGGGAGAGTGGAATGTAGACGTGTGTTCCATATGTTCCACTAGGAACCCAAAGGATAAACAATAATAATAATAATAATAATACAATAATGTATCCGCTGAATTTTCGCTTCGGTTTCGTACTGATAGTCTATGACAGTGACTACTAGTGGAGTTTATGATCGAAATTTAGCTCCATTTCGATCCTACACTTTTCCCATCCTTTCAGATAGCTTTATGAAATGGATCATAACTACGTGTATTATGCTTGGTTATCTGTTATTGATTTGACATCAATGCCATTTAACCAGTCATCGAATAAAAAGTGCACTCATCAACTGTTTCATATATTTATTAGTATCAGAAAAATCAACATACCCAGCTCCAGAAGCATGTAAATCCTTAGCATCAACTTCTGCCAGCTCTTTATTTCGTATAGATTCAACACCTTTATCTGGTATAGCCTTCAGTTGTAGTAATTGAACATCATCTCTTTCAGCTTGAACTAAGCTAAGCAAAGCATATTCATAATCTCCATCTGTTTCTTTCTTCATATCAGTAACTAATGAGCGTTCATTTGCTATAGTTTAATAACAGTGTATTTTGTTTGAATGAAAGAAAGAAAATTCAATGATTCAATGAAAACAAAATCAACATTATTTAGCATTAAAATTAGTTAATTTCGATGGACTAGAATACTTGATTGACTAAACTTTCAAGTTCCCGCCCCCCCCTTGTCTATAAAATCAATTGACCATTGAACTACATCATGGATCTTTCTATCGAACAGTGTCAATGAAACAGATCCTTTTATAATGATTTTCTGACGACACTTTCTATAACGTGATAAGTTTCTCATCAGTTATAAGCGTAACAATCTGCCATATATAGATAGATGAAAGTGAAATATTCCCTTTTATGATGAAAAAAGCAAAACAAGGTAAACTCACCTTCAATTCCTTTATCTTTAAGAACTAGAATGAAGGAAAAAAATAAATTAGAATTAATCAGTGAATATGGCGAATAAACTGCGATGACTAGATCATAAATTTCTATCATATGATTATTTTTCCCATGGGTTCCCAATAGAACATACAGCTTCAGTAGCACACCTCCATTCCACTCTCTTCTCTCCAGTCTCTTCAACCTCGCTCCACCGATGCACACAAGCTTTCCTTTCTTTCTCACATCATCTCCTCCATATCACCTCATCCTCACATCGCACGCCAAACTCATCCTTTACTCTTTGCTTCCCACTCGATGGCCTGGCACGGCGCGTGACGATCCCGGTTGGCCTCCTCAGTGTATCCCCCATCCAGTCCATCTCCACTTCCTGCTTCTGCATACTTGTTGCGTGATGGGTTCTTGATTGGTTCGTTCCCAGAGTGACTTCCTTCTTGCCTATTCCTATTATTCTTGCCATCCATCTGATCTTCAGTGTCTGTATCGAGTGAGTGTAGGTGGCAGCTGTTCATGAATGTCTGTGGTTTGTTGGAAATGTTTAACGTGACACGCCAAGTCTCTCAATCATCATATAGAAGCACTGACTTGACTGACATTTGCGTTGAAAATCCTTATATTATTCACGCTTTATGCTGAGTGGAGTGCAGTAGATCTCCACACTGATTTCACATTAATGAAAGTCTGTCTTGTTGTCTTTCCGATCCTGTCTGATTTTGACATGCTCATCTGTGCCTGTACCACCCCTAGTTGAATCGGTACTGCCTAGTTACGTGGGTAGGTGAAAGAGACTACTTCCTTTCAGTTTCTCCCATTGATGCTGATTGGAGCTTCTCGTTGTTGTTGGTGCTGTTGCTGATTGGCTATCTTCATCACCTCTATCTTCTCTACATTCACTTCAAGTCCCATCTTCCTTCACTGCCATCACTTGTCTCTTCTGTCAACTTGTTAGTTTTCGAGATCTATCGATCTCCGAGTTTGTGCGACATAAGACATTAGACATAAATCATCATCGTTGGCGAAATCCAAATGTTGTAGTGTCTTTTCATTGGTGAAACAGCGCATATCCCTCTTCTCACAATTCATCACGGTTCGCTGCATGATGCGGTCGACCACAATCAGGAGGCTCATGAGTGATATTATGCAGCCTTGTTATACTCCTTTCTATCTTTACTTCAAAGGTGTCGGTGAGGTTTCCACTGTAGATCAGTTTGCATTTGGCGTCTTCATATATTTGTTGAATGAGGTTGATAAATGTTTGTGGTATTTCGTAGTGTTGCAGCAACTGCTGACTAACTTCTCATTCGTTGGTGTCGAAGGCCTTTTCAAAGTAGATAAACTATGCCATCAAAATATGCTGAAAGGTGTTTTTTTCAGACAGTATGGCCCAGATACCTCTGAATCCCGATAAGTCGGTGTGCATCTTCCTCTAGAATGTTTAATAAGCATAATCTATTCAGGAAGATTTATGTGCTAGCAGTGACTGACTAATTGTGCCTTAATGAGTGAACAATGAGGAATTACAATCTGTAATATCAAAGTATACTAGTTGCTCAAAAGATCATTTTGGTAGCCTTTTCGAGTCTCAGTGGGGAAAATAATTTTCACTAGGATATAGATATTCCTGTATGAGATGAGATATACACTCCAGTTTCTACCATCAACCACGACGGATAAATTGAATTTTTGGAGCACTGGGGCGATGAGAACTCTAAATGTCATCAAATTTTTGCAGTTCCTAACAGACAATAGAAGTCTTATCTGCTGCCTTGGTAGATTATGTGTATGAATCTGCGCCAGTGACATTGGTTGTGAGCCATATCACCTCGAGTCAGTCTTCAACCAACGGTCAGAGACTTCATGCATTGGTGCAGTGTTTAAGTCTGGACACCTTGAGCCTTTTTCAAGCCTCAACCTACTTCGGCCAACATTGTGTGATGAGGCAGTCGGCGACTAGGCATACGTAACACATGTCCCAACCATCTAAGTCGATGAAGGTTCACAACCTCATCAACTAACTTACCTCTTCTCCCTAAAACTGCGCTCCTTACTTCTGAATTACTCACATGGTGACACCACGGAATACCACCTAGCCTATACTACGAAGGCAACAGTGGTCAAACACTAGAAGTCAGCCTTCTCATGTCTTTTACCTTCAATGGCCATGTTTCACAACCATAGAGTAGAGCAGAGCAGACTTCTGTGCAGCACGCGCGACCCTCAATAGACGAAAGGATATCACGACGGCGCCATAGGTGGCGTAAATTGATAAAAGCCAGCCAACCAAGCCTTTTGTATCCGTGGACAATATAACGAGGTGGACATAAGCACAGTACACTCGACCCCTAACAGACAGTCAGATACATAGATGGCGTAGGTTGGTAAAAGCCAATCGAGCCTTTTGTATTTAGACAGAGATTTCATCGGCCACTGATCCACCAGGGCTGATCCCTTTTCCCAGGTAAGTGGAGTATTCAACGTGCTCAACTACTTAACTCTCTATTGTTAGTCAGGACACTGTTGAAGACCAGTTGTGGAGCAACAGTTTACATATGGGTGGTGAGAAACGCATCCCAAACATTCCCAAATTTCCTTTCAAGTTGTCCAAAAGGCTCTGCATCTTGCTAAAACTATGTCATCTGTGTATTCTAGGTCAAGCGAAACCGCTGCTGTGATTAGCTTATTCCTTGTGTAGCCAAATGACGAGAGGAAGACCTTTATAAGGACATATGTGATAAAACTGAATAAGAATGGAGATAGTGGGTATTCTTGAGGATACTACTTGACATACACAACTCACCCAGTACCTCACCTTAGGCTCTAACAAGCCATATCCGTTATCATCTTAAGCCAGTGAGTTCCATATTCTCTTGGATCCAATCTAGAGGGTAGCGAGGCACTATCAGATGCCAAACTAACGTAATTATCCTTCATCTCACAGTGCCTCTTTTAACCAGTTGTAACATACGTAAAGAGTGAAAAGATTAGGAGCTACTGGGACGACGCTGGGTCAACACTTTCAAGTTACCGAACTCGGTGTTTCAAGATGACCTCGCTCACTCAATGAATGATGACCTCCATCATATTCAATCACATATCACTTGATCTAAGGATTACTTACATGTTGATTGCTTCAGAAGCCAGGAATCTGATGGAGAGAACGATAGTTGAATGATCAGAGTCATTGAACAGCCTCAGTTAGTCAAGGTCAGAATTCACAGGTATAAAGCAGTAACATCGATACTATTGGATGATAAAACAGGCGTTTAACAGTCAAATGAAGCGTAGGATACTGGGTTCGAGCCCCTGTGCAAACAAAATCACCCAATGGAGCAAAGGTATACTCATCTGATGAGTGTTAAACAGGCCGAAACGTGCATTCTTCATTCCTCTGCTAGTCAACAAGATTAATATAGCTTTTGGCCTATAGTTCATTTTCATCTTGATTAAGTGAACAATATCCTTACAATGAGACAATACATGCTGTTAAACTTGAGACGTTGGAAAATCTACTAAATAACAAGTTATGTACATGTTTCATAAGTGGAAAATGCTTTCAGTCTGTTAAACTATTCTATAGATGAAAACTTGAAAAAAGATGGAAAATATTTGACTCACCATGTTTATAGGCTTCAGCTACAGCTCTAATTTCATCATTCCATAATGTGGTTAATATTTCTATAAGGACACGATCATTTGTCCCTAAACCTTTCATTGCATAATATAGTGATTTAGCCAACATATATGGTGTATCCATAACTAATTGACACAATACTTTACGAAAATCTCCACTAGTCTCTGATTTCAATTCATCTTTAAGATCCTTTGGAAAGGGAGATGGGAGAAAGAGAGAGAAAGGGAGTAGAACAATCATGAAAGTAGTAAAACGATATCAGATGATATCAGCTAACCAATTATTATATCTCCTCTTTTCACGAGCACAAAACCCATACACCTAGAGAGAAGATACAATTTCACAATGATAGTCATAAGGATAGTTACTCAACGATAACATTGGGTGGCGGTTGCGCTACATCGTGAGCTAACAGAAGTTGGAAATATGGACGATTGGATTCTGATACAGTGGCTAGCTCAATGCTGACGTGCTGGCCACGGAAGGTTAAGGTCACGAGTTCGACCCGGGGAGGCCAGGGTCGTGAGTGCGTACTGCTGAGGAATCCCATACTAGTTTGACGGAACAGCTATCCAGTGCTCCCAGGTTTTCTTTGTTCCTCTCCAATTGATGTCAGTCAACGATGAATAACAAGTTGGAATGATTAGCAATCATATTTTAGAAAACAAACAGAGTCGAACAAGGAGATAAAGTATACAGTACCTCTGATGGCTTGTTATGATTCAGTGCGCGAAAGGTATACATCTAGATATGAGAGAAGAATAAGTATTTCAGCAAAGAGTCTGTTTTCAGCGACTTTATTCATAGATAGAAAGATGGAACCACCATGGGATCCCCACTAGACTCACAGACTACTGTATAGTGCGTTTGGAGAACGGATTCTATAAATAAATGTTAGAGAGTTTTCAACTATACCAAAAGGTAGGTGGATGATACTTTCATTGTCTGCAAATTGAATCATATTCTACAAACATCCCATAGTTACCATTCAACAATCAGATTCCTTCTTAAAGTTGAAAACAGACCAACTATTCGCCTTCTTAATGTAGATAAAACTAGCTAATGGAACGGTAAGAAGATCACCTCCTAGAAAACCAATATGGAATCATCAACTGACGAATTTTCATAGCCAGATATCTATAAGTCATCAACGCAATCTGCTTATATGGCTCGTCATTCGAAATAGACGAATCTGTACTCCCGATTTGTTTAGAAGAGGAAATTTCTGTTATAAGGAACATGTTGATTGAAAACCGACTCCTACCACACATTATAGACGAAAATACCAATCTAATACATCTCAGAGAGAACCCTAACACTATGCTAAAAAAATGCCTTATATGAATGTATAACCTTGCCTGGTTAACTAGTTCACTAGTTATTAACCGGTCCTAAGCCCGGGTAAACAGGGAAGGTTGGGCATCGGGCTAGCAACCCCACCACTTAAAACCAGTCCAATCTCTACAGAAACTTCAGAGCATAAAGAAAATATAAAACACAAAAACAAACGTATTCCTCACTGGAATCGGAGAGACGAAATGACGCCGATTGGTGAAAGACTTCGGGAAGCCAATTAACCGATGTGTCTTCTATCTATGAAATCAAAAGTAAGGATGGGGACACGGAATGTACGCACTATATATGAACCTATCAAGGCTGCCCAGATTGCAAAAGAGATGAGAAGGTATCGCATCGAAGTACTAGGAATTTGCGAAAGTAGATGGAATGGAAGTGGGCTGTTTATAATGTCAACTGGAGAGGAGTCAATAATCTACTCAGACGACAACTACCAGCACACGGAGGGAGTGTCTATCATGATGTCTCCAAGACCATTAAAGGCTGTCATGAAGTGGGGGCCATTCTCCTCCACCTTCATGATAGCAAGATTCAAATCAAAAGGGAAGAAAGTCACAATCATTCAATGCTACGCACCTACAAGTAATGCAGATGAAGAGAAGAAGGAGGAATTCTACAGACAACTGCAAACAGTACTGGAAAAGACTGCACCCCGGTTGGCGACATCAAAATTCTAATGGGCGACATGAATGCCAAACTGGGAGCGGACAACACAGGAAGTGAACTTATCATGGGTTCAGAAGCACTCGGTGAAATGAATGAGAATGGAGAACTGTTTGCAGGCTTCTGCACCTTTAATAATTTGGTGATTGGAGGCAGTGTGTACAAAGACAAGGATATTCACAAAACGATATGGATTAGATTTCATCAGATGGACATACCAAAATTCAGATCGACTTCATCACAATGTGCAGAAAGTGGAGACGCAGCCTACTGGAAACAAGATCAAGAAGGGTAGCAGATGCAGGTTCAGACCACTCACGTTCTGGTGTAAGGAACCTTCCAAATCAAGTTGGAAGCCTTCAAGGAAGTTGATGATAGAGCACAGTGCAAGCTCAACACCCAGAACAGTAACTGAAGGACGAGGTGATGAAGATAGCCAATCAACAACAGCACCAACAACAACGAGAAGCTCCAATCAGCATCAATGGGAGAAACTGAAAGGAAGTAGTCTCTTTCACCTACCCACGTAACTAGGCAGTACCGATTCAACTAGGGGTGGTACAGGCACAGATGAGCATGTCAAAATCAGACAGGATCGGAAAGACAACAAGACAGACTTTCATTAATGTGAAATCAGTGTGGAGATCTACTGCACTCCACTCAGCATAAAGCGTGAATAATATAAGGATTTTCAACGCAAATGTCAGTCAAGTCAGTGCTTCTATATGATGATTGAGAGACTTGGCGTGTCACGTTAAACATTTCCAACAAACCACAGACATTCATGAACAGCTGCCACCTACACTCACTCGATACAGACACTGAAGATCAGATGGATGGCAAGAATAATAGGAATAGGCAAGAAGGAAGTCACTCTGGGAACGAACCAATCAAGAACCCATCACGCAACAAGTATGCAGAAGCAGGAAGTGGAGATGGACTGGATGGGGGATACACTGAGGAGGCCAACCGGGATCGTCACGCGCCGTGCCAGGCCATCGAGTGGGAAGCAAAGAGTAAAGGATGAGTTTGGCGTGCGATGTGAGGATGAGGTGATATGGAGGAGATGATGTGAGAAAGAAAGGAAAGCTTGTGTGCATCGGTGGAGCGAGGTTGAAGAGACTGGAGAGAAGAGAGTGGAATGGAGGTGTGCTACTGAAGCTGTATGTTCCATTGGGAACCTTAGGGAAAAACAATAGTAACAATGACAACATCAATATATATTTCAAAGATGATTCTGCTGCTGACACTGAAGAGGAAGATATCAAACTCTATCAGGAGAACACTGTTTTCATCAACTCTGAGATTCCTATTCTTTTGTTAAACAATGATTTGTAATAACTTGAAGCACAGTCTTCCACATCTGACCGCTGTTATATTCATGAAAAAGAAACTTATAGAAGTCTACATGTCTTCGTATTCTCTACATTTTCTTTTATATCGTTCACTTCCTACGTAATCTACCATTCATTCTTATGTGTGCAAAACTTGTAGAATGTAATTCCATATTAGGTTTGTTGATTTGATACATGTTAGACATTGGTACAGTATGATTTACTTCATCACATTTAGCGCACATATTATCATTGCTCTATAATCTTATCAATGTAATCACACGCTTTTATACTCCCATTACCTGTTATCTTTATTGTTTACTAGTAAAGTTTTCTATATCTCTGGTATAGAAACATGTTGCGTCATCCCTGTTACATGGGTTGGTTGGATGTTGATTCGATGAACGAACACCCAGTAATCAATCTCTTCCTCTCTTTACACCTAACTATATTGAAGTCAAGTACAGTCGTTTTATCCTTCATTATTGTGTGATTGTGTTTTAATGGATGCATTGCAATATCCGATTGTTTTTCTAGATTATTGATCTTGTTGGGGGTCTAAATTCCTATCTTCCACTAATCTAGTTGATTCCGACTAACTAGTTTCACCTACTTATTTCGCCTCATATTGACTACATGGACTCTGATAGATTGGATTATTTTGCTTAATTGGTTCTATTGGATGCTTAAACAAACCGACAAAGCTTATCTCTGAGTAAGGTTTATATGCCATCCCAACACCAACCTTGTTGAGAATCCTACGTATAGTTTCCGATGTTCTCTCCTTATATGATAACACAATGGAGTCTGTAAACTCTTTTCTACTTGTGTTGTCGTTATTATTTCGTTTCTTGTATGTTCGTACAAATAAATTTCTGTAGGTCGTTGCACTAACTGGTGAGTTTTTTTAGCTCTAACATTCAGATATTTGACTAAACCTGCCTTAACTGACTGATATTGGATGAGATGACTTGAAGTCTAGATATCTGTTGTAATGTGTCGGTTCCCTGTAGATGGTAGTATCCAAACCATCGTCTATCATTCGTTTTATCCTGCTATCGAACGTGGGCAATTTTCCTTTTTCATTTCCTACCTTCTTGTAGGTGAATCGAATTACGTCCACAACTGAACTTATGTATGTGAGGAAATTCTCAAAATGTTCCGATTTCAACACAGTGGTGAATGTAGCATCCACATATCGCCACCATATCTTGGGTGCAGGATTAAACCTTTGTAAAGTTACATTTTCCCAACTATCCATAAATGTATCTGCTACAATTGGGTATATCGGTAATCCTATCGTTACTCCTTCTGTTTGTCAAAATATTTTGTCCTGAAACTTGAAGATTGAGGCAGTCAAGCACAACTGTACGCCTAATATGATTTTATCAATCGATATCTTAGTTCTTTGAGTAAGTTCTGAATTAGTAATCAGTTGATTTATGACTGTAACCTTTAAATGGCTGGGTTCCACTCGAGTGCCTAGCCTGGCGCGTGATATCTCAAACCGTCTCCTCAGAGTATGCCCAATCCATCTCCACTTTCTTCCACTGCATATTTGTCAGGCAATAGCTTCTTGCTTCGTTGGTTCGTCGCCAGAGTCACTTTCTTGTTGCTTATTCACTCTGGCATTCTCAATTGATCTTCAGTATCGAGTGAGCGTAGGCGGCAGCTGTTCATGTATGTCTACAGTTTGCTGTAAATGCTTTTCGTGAGGCGCCAAATCTCTGAACCGTCACATATAAGGAGTGACTTGACTAAACTATTGTTAAAAATTCGGATCTTGTTCATACTTTATATTGAGTGCAGTGCAGTAGATCTCCACACTCATTTCACATTAATGCAGGAAGGCCTGTCTTGCCGTATTTCAAATCTTGTCTGGCTTTGACATCTTCATGTGTGCCTGTAACGCCTGTAGTTGAGACGGTGCTGCCTACGTAGGTGGGTGTGTAGGTAGGTAGGTAGGTAGGTAGGTAGGTAGGTAGGTAGGTAGGTAGGTGTGGAGTGGTAGGTAGGTAGGGAAAGGAGACAAATCCCTTTGAATTTCTACCGTTGATGGTGGTTGGTGCTTCTCACAGCGCTTCACAGATGTTTCTTGCGTGATGCAGTGCAGCACAGTCGACTAAAATCAGGATGATCATCGATAATAGAAGGCAACCTTTTCTTACCTGTCAACGTATCTTCACTTCAATAAGCTATCCATTGTGAATCACTTGGTATGTGCTATTCCGTAGTGTTGCAGTAGCTGCCAAATTACTTCTCGGTCAGCGCTATCGAAGGCTCTTTCAAAGTCGATGAAGAACCGCCTTGTAATCATATGAATACTCATAAATGAAATTACTATTCAGTCATCTACATCTGAAAATCTAAGACTGAAATAATTTTGGAATACGTTCCTGGTGAAAGTGACATTGATGTCAGTGATCTGCTTTCAACTGGCTCTTTTAACATCTCCGTTATTTTTTATTGTCACTAGGGTTCGACAAGGTTTACTTCAATGAGACTTTCAGATCGATGAAATTAGTATACAGTATGATCGCATCCTACCAGTCAATGAGAATATTTTCTTATTTAACCAATAAAACGAATCCGTTCAAAGTGATTATTGCTATAAAACAGAAAGTGGACAGGAAAAAAAAATTTAATTTTTCACCTTTTTATACATGCTTTGATATGAATGACATATTTCCTGGCGTTCATAATTTGTTCTACGCGCCAGTATATTGATGATTGAAGCTTCATCTGTGCCTAAACATAAAAAAACGATTACTAGCATGTAAGAATAAGATATTAACTCGTGAACATTGAACCAAGTTTACAGTTTAAAGCCAAGATATTACATACTTGGTGTGAAATTCAGTTTTTCTAGAAAATTCAGCTAACAAAAACTTTGAAACCTCTGAACTTTGTTTGACTCAGTGGCTAGATGGTTAAGGTGTTCACCGTGAAACTTGGAGATACTGAGTTCCATCCCTAACCAGGTAGCGAGTGCGTGCTACTGAGGAGTTACATACTATGACCAGTGCTCTCAAGTTTTCAATGGTTCCCCAACTGATTTCAGTTCATGATGAATACTACCTCTAATATATCATGTGTTCAATGTAACTTCAAAACAGTGGAAGTATAGATGAAGTGTTAAAAGACTGGATGAATGAAGATAACCAATCAGAAACATTGAACTAGTTCAGGGTGCAACTGTAAGATCTACCTTAGAAATCTTAGGATAACCAATTGAGTTTCTGTATTCACACTTGTCTGTTGATTACTTTAGTATCTGCTCGAGTGGTCTTGAGAGAAAATCAACAAGTATTCCAGGTGATGAGATGCTAAAAACAAATGGCGAAAATGATGCGAAACTTCATGATAATAAGTGTAAACCTTACAAATCTTATTACAACCTTCAGTCAAGTTGTTGATACGCTTACTGTAACGAACAACGGCTGATGAGTTCTAACTAAAACGAAACGTGAACTCTTGATTCCACTGTTTGCCTCTATGTCATCATGATCAGAAGAAAAGTGAGTAATGTTGAATATTTAATCCCTCCTGTCTGCCTTTACACCGTAAAATAAGTTGTATTTGGAATGTGGACTCATTTACTACTGATTCACTTTGATCCAGTTGACAATTTCTCTGTATTTGGCATAAGTTCTACCCATTTTAGCCTTTGTAAATATAACTTTCATTCTGAGTAACCGTCTTTACATTACATTACAATAAATAGTCTCCATGGTTCGACTAGTCTGCCCATCTGAGGAGTGATCTCTCAATTCCTACTGGACATGACTTGTAGATGGCTTATGTGATTTTTTCTTGTTCTTCCTTGAAACTGATATGTATTTAGTGTGCATTTCATGGGATCATCATACTTGAAGGTCATCATAAACTTTTAAAGTCCCATATACTAATTTTTCTGTAGTCTAACAACCAATCGTGTTACTTCAAAGTTTCAAGAGAAATTATGTGAACCTATATGTAAATATCAGATTGGTTGAAGAGACAAAGTCAGAAGGAAATGACCTTGATCAGAAATACTCAGGGTCACTGCAAATATATACATAATAGTCTTCTGTTAGCTTACTGCATCTACCATTTATCGTGGGACTGAGTACCAATCAAGGGTGGAATGTGAAGATTAGTATTTCACTGTACACTGTCATATAAATATAAAATTCTAAGGCTTATATAAGAACTTGCTGGATTTTTGCTTAGCGCTAGGATCAAGCCCAGTCATTATTTTACCCATATGAAGTGATCAGGCTAACTTTCTTCTGTCACACTAGAACACTATTATTATGAATCAAGATATTCCAGAACAGTCATCAGAGTGTTGAGATTGTGTGGTTCACTTAGTCTGTGATAACTATCAGGATAAGGTATTTGTGCAATACATTTCGAACAATCTGATCACATATTTACTTGTCAAGTCAATATATTAAACCAGGGACTGGGGGGACCAAAGCACTTATGGAAAATGGATATCCGATGAAGTTTATAAACCGTTCTAGAAGTCAAGTAGCACCAAAGGCAACTCTATAAACAGTCCTTAACCAAAGTGTCCATATCAGTCTACCATACAGAGGGGAGTTGAATAGTATCATTTCGAGACGTAGGCTGACAACAGCCATTAAGAAAACATATTACGCGGTGAATCTTACCATTGTGGAGAAAACAAAACACATACTTCACCAAAAACCTAAACACTACATCAATGATTACGTCACATCCCATTGTGTTTACTAATTTACATGTGTGTATGGTCACACATATATATAGGGAGGAGTAATCGAGTCGTGGAGTTGAGGGTGGGAGAATATGTGCCTAAATGGCTTAAAAAACAAATGGAGTGTGAATCCGTGATAAATGCAGGCGGGAGACAATCCTCTCCATCTATAACTAAACATATCATAGAAACAGGTCACAAAGTTAATGTTCAAACAGACTTCAAAATTGTATATAGAAATAGTCAGAGAAGTATTCTGAGATTTGTGGAAGCCATAGCCATACACAAATTTAAGTCACCTTTATGTGTGTACAAAAACAATTTCTTCTTACACTATACCTACCTTGATAAACTTTGTTTTCCCACCAAGATTAGGATCAACTATGTCACTATTCCTGTTTGTTCTCATCTTTCTTAATTTTAATCCCCTATTGTGTTAATTGTTGTATTTATTCCCCCTCCCAGTCCTCAGTTTAATATATATTGACTTGATAAGTGGTGAATGTGTGATCAGATTGTTCGAAATGTATTGCGCAAATATATCACTCACATTGTTCAGATAGTCTTCATCTTCACAATAAGGGTAAAACTTCGGCACTGTGATACAATGTAATTGTATATTGGACTTCTTTATTTGATGAATAACACACAGTGATCTAGTATTATTTACTTGATGACGTTTCGAACATAAATTATTATTGTTCATAAGCATATCAGTGTGGTAAAAATTTCCATATCTTTGGTATAGGTGTTGGTTCATTCATATAACATGTGTTGGGTGTTGACGGATTCGGTGAAGAAAGATTCAGTAATCAATTTCATACAATCTCCACCTAATTATTACTGGATCTAAGTACGGTGGTTTTATTCCATCCATCCTATTTTTTGGTTGTGTGTTAATACATATGTTGCAATACCCGAGTACTTTTCTAGATTATTGATCTTATTCGGATCTGTCATTCTATATTTAGCTACATTCTGAGGTTCCACTAACTTTAGTGACCCGGACTGGCACGTTTGACCTATGTACTTGACCTGACTCACAGTTATTACATGGAATTTGGTAGATTAGATTATTTTGCTTAATTGATTATATCAGATGCTTAAGCCAGCGGACAGAGCTCATCTCTGAGTGAGTTTGAAGGTTTCAATGTCATCCCAACTCCAACCTTGTTGAGGATCCTACGTAGAGTTCCTGATGTACCTTCGTTTTAGAGTAACACAATGAAGGCTGTCAACTCCTCTCTACTCGTGTTGTCGCTATCATTCTAAGCGGTGATTGGGCTTCGTATCATCTCATCGCATATCAGTTAAAGCAGATTTAGTCAAATGTCTAAATGACAGAGGTAAAATACTCATTAATCAGTAGTGTGTTATTAATTAGTAATTACCCTCTACAGTTTATTGAGAAATTCGTACGAAGACATAACATGCAAAATGATAACAGTAATATGAATACGAATAATAACGACAACATGAGTAGGCGAGAGTTCACAGCCTCCATTGTGTTACCCTAGAGGAAAGGAACATCAGAAACTACGTAGGATCCTCAACAAAGCTAGAATTAGAGTGATATTCAAACCTACAAACTTACTCAGAGTTGAGCTTTGTCAGATTAATGATCACATGGAACCAATTCAGGAGAAATAACCTAATCTATCAAATTCCATGTAATGACTGTGAGTTAAGTCAAACTAGCCGGTCCGGGTCAGTCAGATTAGCGGAACATAGGAATCTAGCTAAATATGGAATAACAGACCCGAATAAGATCACTGCATGCACACACACACAATCACATGTTAGATTGGATGGGATAAAACCACTGTACTCAAGTTCAGTATAATTAGGTGAAGATTTTGAGAGATTGATTACTGAATGTTTGTTCTTCGAATCAACACCTACCCAACACATGTAATAGGAATGACGCAACATTCTTCTATACTAAAGATATGAAAAACTTCATCATCAACACAAACATAGAATATCAGATAACAGGTCTATGAAAATTGGCTGTCGAAAGATTGTGATTCCATTGATATGATTATGAGCAGTAATAATTTATACTCAAAATATTGTCATCAAGTAAACCATTCTGTATCAGTCATTGTGTTATAAATCAAATAAACAAGTCCAATATAGAATTACATTGTACCACATTGTTCAAGTATAGGAAACATATATGATTATCAATGTGACTATATAGGATAGTCACAGCAGGACTTGGGACAACTACCTCTGAACTGTTCACTTGATCCTCTGTCAGCTATGACATTCAACTGTCAACGAGATCTTGATCTAAATTCAATCAATAAGGATTTTCATACAATTATCTTGTGAATTTATGATACATCACTATTCATTCATCGTATTTACACTAACTACCCGGTCAGAACTTCTCATCTCTATTCAACTAGAGTTGAATTACAAAATGGGATGTATTATATCAGTCTAACTATTTGAAATAGTTGTAATTTATAGGAAATAAGTAAAGTACATCTTCATAACAACAAGAAAAAAGTGAAATACTTTCGGCATTATAATGATTAGTTTGTTGAAATAACACAAAGGAGTAAGTAGAACGGTACTTGTATGATTGGCAAAGTAGAAGCGATACACAATGGAATAGCGTAGATGGCTAGACTGTTGCTTTGACATTAGACTAGTGTCTACAAATACACACACGCACATATACTTCTACAGTCTCTGACTACTGGTATAGGCTGCCAAATATATACAAAGAAATAGGAGGAGTAGATGAAAAGAAATAATAAGACAACAAAATAAAGTAAGTAATAAATTTTTAATCCTGGTTACCATGACAACCGATTGGTTAGTTAGTTAGTTAAAACAAAATGAATTTAAATTATTTTGTGATTTGTTTTTTTGGTAGTCAATACAAGTCCGAATTATAGTTTATGTATAACATTTAAGGCAGCTAAACCACATAGGATATACTTTTGTACATTTAAGGCTGTCTCCACTTTGGATCATGACGCCAGTTACTAAATCCTTACCACTGTTAGCG